TTTTTGCCTCTGTTTTCAGTATGTTTAAGCACAAAGTGTGGTTTATAAGCTCCTTGCTCAGCCTGAAACCCTTGAAGGTGTTTGCAGTGAAACCAGAGCTCCCACCTCAGGGCAGAAACTGCAGGTAATGTCTAATCAATGGGAAACTGAGCACTATCAGGACAGTAGTTACAGACACTGTTGGCCAAGAAAGGTGTTGGATGCAGATGTGAATCTTGGGACATGACTGGGGAGACATACTGAGAGCAACTATCCATCCACTGTCATAGATACATAAACCTAATGTCAGAGATATGGAACCTAAACTGGTTTGCAGCAGAAAACTGTCCATCTACCAAGGGACTGGGAATTGGCTTTGACACCATTCACAGTTCCAACATACAGTCAGAAATTCAGCATCCCCAAGCCTCATCTAAAATTGACGAGTGCCTCCAAAGGAATTGTTTGTTGCTTTGTTTGCAAAAAGTGCAAACAGCACATCAGAGAAGTAAAAATGCCTTGGTGGCTTGTTTGGCTGCACACTTAGGGTATATTATAATGAGCCATATGCTAGCTTTGTGTAGTATTCATGGGGTAAGCCAGCTGCAACGTGCAGCCCATTAGTCTGGTTGGAAAAACCTTCATTTTCCATAAGAGTGGGCCAGCAAAATCAAACGTTCCAGCAGGTACCATCAGCGCTCATCACTGCTCCTGTGGATCGGGTGAAGCTAAGACAGCAAGAGAACCTCTGCTTTATTTCTGTCCTAAAGGAGGGACCCTCCTTTAGCCCAAGGCTATTTAATACTAACTGGTTTTATGAACTATAACCCTTGTACATTCTTATGGAAGAGGTTTCCACCACCTCTTCCCACAGCTGCCAGTCTCATTGCTTCAGGCAGAGCTCAGTCATTCAGCATTCAGCTCAGCTGGTCTGGTGGAAACCTCCTGTGCGTTAAGGGGACGGAGGGCAGGAGGGGATGGGAACCCGATGAAGGGCAACATCATGAAAGTGTCTGTGCAGCAGGAGAGCAAAAACACCTTTTTTGCCCCAAATCCCATTTCCTGCTGTGGCCAGAAACACAGGAGTTTAAGAAGAGAGGGTATTTCCTCCAGATACCAGCTTTGAACAATTTATTTCTCAGGGACTTTCCACCACCAGAGATATTTCCTCTTTGTGTTAGATAAACCTCAGTGGGCTTTCCTTCTGTGTACTTGTTGAGCCTTTCGCTTGAACTCACTTGATCTTCTGGCATCTGCAGCAGCCCAGGGTAAGGAGTTTCACAGCTTACCCACAAGCATCCACTGATGGATGAGCTGCAACTTCCTCCACCAGAAGATCTCCTTAAGATTTCCACTGGGCTAAGTGCTGAATCAATGGCTTGTGGGGCCACCCTCTGACCCAGCGAGAAATTCTCACCCACAAGATAGGAACATCCATGGTTTTCTTAAGGGTTTTTTTTTTCCCCAAACTATTATTGGTTGCATTTCCAAGCCAAATTAACAGCCACATCAGAATCTACTACAAATTAATGTGACAGATTCAGAAACACAACGAACCAGCTGAAGTTTTTAGCTCTTAAGATATGTGATTAAACTTTTTTTTTAAGGAGGAACTTCGCTTAGGGGTATCCCTTTGCATGTACGTATATCCAGTGCTTTGACTGCTCTGGGCCATCGTTACAGACAGACAGAAAGGGGCTGAACATGCGTTATTTCAGAAGGGCTGGAAAAGAAGCCATGCAGCTGTCTCAGTTTTGGGATGCCCACGTGAACCTGACACTCTAAAGAGCAACAAAACCATGAAGCAGTAGTAATGGAAGGGGGTTGGGAGCAATGTGGAAAACCCTGGGGGATACCATATTTATGTCTAAGGAAGAAGCCTGAATCGCTCTCATTAAAAGAAAAATTCCCCACAGACAGGATTGTTAAGATTATTCTTATTTGACATGGTTATTAATGAGGAGGAGGGGAGAGCAAATTGCACCTTAATGAACTTCACAGATGATAACACTCTGGGCAGATCTGAGGGCTCCTGTGAGGAAAGACCATTGGGCAAGTGGAGTGCAGTGCTATCTTTAGGTTGACAAAATGCTGAACCCTCTGAACATTGCATCCAATCCTTTCCATCAGCCTCACGGAGCAAACAACCCCTGTGAGGGTGGTGGATGCAATGATTTCACTGGCAATAAAACCAGGAAGACTAAAAAGCCTGTTTTCCTTTAAATTCACCATATGGTCATTGTAGAATGGGACATGAAGTAACCTGGGGGGGGGGGTTCGGGCAATGGTTAACAGCTATTTTACTTTACCAGCTAGTTCTTCCTTTTCTCTCCCTACACCACACCTGGGTTCTTGGCTTCATACCCCTGGGCAGTGTCGCATAGACAGACACCAGTCAAGCCCCATCCTCCAGGCTGAGCCCAAAACAATGCCCCTTCTTCTGCCAACACTCATGCTGGAGCAGCTCTCCTATGAAGACAGGCTGAGACAGTTGGGGCTGTTCAGCCTGGATAAGAGAAGCTGCGTGGAGACTTCAGAGCAGCTTCCAGTGTCTGAATAGGGTCTACAAGGATGCTGGAGAGGGACTCTTCATCAGGGGCTGTACTGATAGGACAAGGGTGATGGGTTCAAACTGAAACAGGGGAAGTTCAGGTTAGATGCAAAGAAGAAGTTCTTTATTGTGACTGTGGTGAGGCGCTGGCACAGGGTGCCCAGAGAAGCTGTGGCTGCCCCATCCCTGGCAGTTTCCAAGGCCAGGTTGGACACAGGGGCTTGGAGCAACCTGGTCTAGTGGAAGGTGTCCCTGCCTGTGGCAGGGGGTTGGAACTGGTCGAGCTTTAAGGTCCATTCCAATCAAAAGCTGACTGGAAGGCAGCATCACACGGAGGTTATGTGTCAAAGCACAACCAGTCCCAATTGCTGCCCAGCAAGCAATCTGGCAAGCCTGTAAGCTCGGGTGGCTGTAAGGAAGCAGTGAACATAGGATGGAAAACTGCTACGGAGTGGTGCTGGAGGTCCCAAGAGAGAGAAATGCCTGGGGACAGAATAAGGGAGCAGATGGGTTTGGGAGGTAGTTGGGTTTGGGAGGTAGTGCCCTCCTGGCAGGGAGCAAGTACCATCACCTTCTCTTAATTCTGCTCACCTCGGCTCCAGAAGGGGCAGAGAGTTGATAGCAACAGCCTTCCCCAGTGCTGGGCAAGCTGGAATAAAGCTGCAGCTACCACAGAATGCAGCTGAACTGACTGGGAGGGCAGGAAGGCTGTGGGAAGAGGACACTGAGTGTCCTGGGCACCCTCAGGAAACCCCCCTGTGCATCTTTGCCAAGTAATAAAATTGACAAGTGCGGTTGGGTGCACACCAGAAAGGTCCTGACATTTCAGAAATCCTTTGCTGTTTTACCTTTAATCAATCTGTACTAAGCCTCAAATATGAAAAGAAGTGCTTAGGGCAAAGGTGAATTTCATATTAAGAGTAAATTGCTTTGATGCTTGTCAATTTGCCAAGATCTTTACAGCAAGGAAATGGTACTATTTCCCAGGCTCCTGGCATGGTCTTAAAGGCCACATCTCACGATGACTCTCTTCCTTTCTCTCCAGCTGTTGTTCATACCATAAAAGCCACAAGCATAAAGATGTTGCTGCTGCTGCTTTTTGGTACCACAAGGTAAAAAAAGGCTGAGCAATCCAAGTTGTTCCATGTTCCTGGAGCTTTACTGTAAATGTGGAATGAAAACGGACCGTGACAAGCTCATTGGCACTTTGCATGAAGATTATTATTTCACACATGTATTTATCTCCCTTCCCACTCCATGGAGTTCATGTTCCTTCACAATCCAGCCCCATTACTTCTAAATCAGAATTTCTACTGCATGTTCACAGTGAAGGCTCTCCAAATAAATGGCAAATACTTTTCACACCACACATTACAATTATTTGTGAAGACTGCTGTAAGAGTGAGAGTCATGTCCTCACTAGGCACTAAATCAGGAGCATCACGAGCTGTGTAGGTCCAGAACTGAACTCCAGCTACATCAGTTTCATATAAAATGCACTTTTTTCAACTACCAGCACGTATGCTATGCAGTATAATCACGGAATCACAGTCGAGGTATGTCAGCAGTGTGTTGAGGTATGTAAGCAACATGCATCATGTGGGGGCAGCTTCCCACACGCAGGGCTAGCACTGTTCAATACCACCGAGGGCAGACTGTAACTTAGCTGCGCTCTTCTGATGAAACCAGATCAGAGCTCAGCTGCTGTATGGAGAATGCCACAACACCTAGAGCCACAACAGACCAGGACCCATGCCAAGCATACAGGGCCAGAATGCTGCCTTGGTCCGATCAAGGGTCCAGCATTAATGCCTTTGTCCTCCTCCCCTTCCAAACAACTGATCAAAGCTGCTGCACCTCATAAAGAACACCACACACTGCCACTTAACACCTATCTCCCAGTCTGGCTCACTGTAAGCCACCCAGGCGCTTCTGTGCCACCTCCCTGACAACCCTCACATACCCCTACACACACATCCTTCAGACCCCTTACACCCCTTATACATCTGCCCCTAGACCCCTCACACATCCTTTACATACCACCTAGACACCTTACACATCCCTTACATCGCCTTCACACCCCTTACACATCCCTTACTTTTACACACCCAAACACACACGACCTCTTACACATCCCTTACACCTCTTCGCATACCCACACCCCAGATACCTCACATCCCTTACACCTACCCCAGCCCCTTATCCATCCATCCATCCATCCATCCATCCATCCATCCATCCATCCATACACACACACCCCTTTCGAACCCCGAGGGCAGCCAACAGCATCCCCCGCCCTCATTTAACACTGGGGGCGTGCCCTTGCGCTGGTCCTCATCCCGGCCGCGCTTCCGCTTCCCAGCCTGGCTCTCGAGAAGGAGGAATCTGTGCGTGCGCGGCCCGGGGCGGGCCGTTTCCTCCCCATCCCGGCGCCTGCGTGCGAGCGCCGCATCCCGCCCTTTCTTCCTCCTTCTCCTCTTCTTCAGTGAGGACCCCGCGGCTGCTCCGCTCTGCGCCGCGCCGCGCCCCGCCCCGGGCCGGGAATGCGCTGTTGGGCGGCCGGAGCTGCGCGTCGGGGGGGAGAGCGGGATGGAGGTGGAGGAGGCGTTCCCGCTGGTGGGGCAGATGGGGCCCTACCAGGTGTACCTGTGCGTCCTGCTGGCCGTGCTGCTGCAGGTGAGGCATAGCCTGCGCTTCCTGCCCCTTTCCCGAGGGGATGCGTCCGGAGGGGAGGCGGTGCGGGAGGAGGGCACCCACATAGTGAATGTGGGGCGAGTGTATGATGCTGTCTGTTGCCTTAAGGGTTATGCTTTGTCTCGCTCGGTGAGCAAATTGGGAGTGTGCAGTTTGTGAGCTGCGGTGGAGTGGAATTAAACTGAGGTTTCCATGAGCTAGACTGGAAGGCAAGCGACTGCTGTCATAGGCTGGGAATCCTGCACAACCTAGAGTCGGTGGCCTAGGGGGGTGAATTCTAGGGTGTGTGTGGCTTGTTTGTGGTGGAAGTGTTTAAAAAGCAGAGGTCACAGGTACCTCTGTGTGCAGAAGCTCTCATTTAATCAGCTGCTGGGCTGTGATTGGTTATGATGCTTTGGTTTGCCTTAACTCTTAAGATGTAGGGTCTCAGCATTAGGTGTTTGGACAAGGCTTTACGTTTTGGGTAGTCGCATTTGTAACCTATGAGATGCAAAACTGTGGCTTTCTTAAGTTTCACAATAAAATTGGAGTCCAAAGTAATAGTGGAGAGCTATAATGTTCAGAGGCTCCATGACCAAGTGATATGCTCTGCAACCACGTTTGTCTTTGCTTTCACCTTTGCTTCCTCTTTGTTCCTGTTCCTTTGGGGTGGGGAGGGGAGATGAGGATAATATGTGCATCTCTACAGTCAGGTCAAGACATAAAGTGTAGTTTGAATCTGGGAGAGGTTTAGTTTACTCAGTGTTAAAACTTAACTGTAGTGATTTCAGCTAGGCTGAGAAGCACTGGGTTACTGCCACTGTGGAAATCTACCTAGCTGCAGGAGGCTCTGTCCAACCTGGCCTTGAACACTGACAGGGATAGAGCATTCACAACTTCCTTAGGCAACCCATTCCAGTGCCTCACCACCCTCACAGTAAAGAACTTCTTCCGTATGTCTAACCCAAACTTCCCATTTCAGTTTGAACCCATCACCTCGTATCCTATCACTACAGTCCCTAATGAAGAGCCCTTCTCCAGCATCCTTGTAGCCCCCGTCGGATACTGGGAGCTGCTCTGAAGTCTCTGCACAGCTTCTCTTCTCCATGCTGCACAGCTCCAATCTTCTCTGGGCAGCTAGGGGACAGACAGGAGTATTAAGAAGCAGATTCTATGACCAAAGAAAACTCAGATGCCTGGTCCTGTCAGTTGTTAACTCTGTACTTGATTGCAGAGCTGTGATGATGAAGAGCAAAACTTTTGTAGGTTTCTGTTTCCTCTTGCTGTTTCTTTCTCTCTTTGAAACTCCCCACTGATTTAGCTGATTAATTCTTTAAAATTAGACATTGTTCTACTGGCTGGCTGGGAAGTTTGTATGCTCACTGAAGATTAGAGATTAAGGAAGCAATGGTTATTTTCTCTTCCAGCGCTGTTTGTGTTCTGGAATGAGCTGCAACCAGTGCTCTGTATTCCCAGAGTTTTAAGTAGCTGGTTTTTAATGCTAATGTTGGTTTGTTTTCTCGTTACTGGTTTAGCTTGCATTTCTACTGGCAGAAGTAAACAAAGATCTTTACAAATCCTGGAACTAATTCAGAATAACTAAAGGGAAAAAGTTATCAGGTTTGCAGATTGTTTTTTCTTTCTTCTTCAGTTATCTTTAATTCTTGAACTTTACCAATGGGGATCATCCCCTGACTGATAGGGGTTCTTTGCTTCAGATCATGCAGGCGCAGCAGTTTGTCAAGGATTTGGATGTGAAGTTTGGTGTCTGTCAGTCTGTGAACAGATTAGGACTTGCACAACTGGTTCCTGCTTGGGTGATTGCTTTCTGTGTTCCTTTATTGGTGCCAAGTTACATAATGTGTCACTGGGCTGTGACACCATAGAGCTAGGTAATCATGGGCTCCTTTAGTGGACAAGATGCACCATCTGGCTGCAGAAGAGCTGTTAGTTTCTGTCACTGGTTCTGCCATGAGCTGATTATTCTCTTTTATTGCTGTCACAGAACCAATAAATTGGGGCTAAATGAAATCTTTGTGCAAACTCAAAGCTCCACCAACGCTGACTACAGATTTGATATGTCCCATGGTTTTGTCACCACACTGCTGATCCTTAAACTTTATGGCCAGTGATCCAAAATGTGCAATCACTGTCACCTAAAAAGGGAGAGTGATTATGCTTTACTCTCAGCCTCATGTTACCTTGGATGGTGTCCTGACCCAAGAGGAGAGTCCCCAACTGCAGGCCCACTGCTCTGAGGAGGACTGACTCCATGTGTCTCTTTGGTCTCTTTTATACCCCGGTTGAATCTGAGCTGTGGTCAGATATGGTTATGTAGCCCCCCATGGGCTCAGGGTCCCAACTTCCTCACTCCTGCACCCACCAGCTCACCACATGTTTGGGACAAGAGCTGTGCATGCAAGGAAGCTCACCCAGGCATTTGTCTGTGGGGGGAAGCTCTTGAGGGCTTTATCAGGGTGGGTGTAGGTGCCACAATTACTTGTTTCCCAGTCCCTTCCCATGTTCTCCCTCAGTTGCTTTGAGTTTTCACATTTGCCTATTAGTATTAAAAAAAGCATTTCTGTGTACTTAGAGGTAGGAATACCATATGGGGGTGAACTGCTTTTGTCTACTTTGTCAAGTCCTTTCATCACTGATGCTAATATACTGAGCTTAAACTCTGCTTTTCCTGCCCCATAAGATCCCCAGCAGATGTTCTTGCTTTTCTTGAAGCCTTTTGTGCCTTTTCGTTGCGTCATCTTTCTAATACTTTGAATTTCATACTTTCTAGGTATTTTTCATCATTTTAGTGGTTTTCTGCTCATATAGATTTCTCCAGTAAACTACTTCTGCCATGTACTCGTACTGAGATGCTGATGCATCTTGACTCTGAATTCAAATTACAAACATAGTTTAGCTCACAGAGCTTCTTTCAGCCAAGTTGTACCAAACAACTGTGTCTGCATGGGGTAGACTTTCCACATGGTAGTCAATGGGCTTGAGTGAACTGGTACTCGACCTGTGGAATGGGCTTACTGACAGTGGCACAAAACCTTCAGGTTGCTTATAGTCACAAAAATGGGTTTGCATGTCATCAGTGTAAAACGAGATTCAGTTGAAGTCTTACAGGCTGCTACTTTCATTTCTTTGCCAATTTGTATTACTGCTCTGCTACCTGCTGGTGTTACTTATTAACTCGTTGAGCTGTTATTGTATCAAGGTAATCCTGGCTTAGCCACTACCAACTTAATGGGACTTTGGAAGGCTTCTAGGAATGTTCTGATAACTTCATAATGGAGTGACAACAGTTAATGTAGAGAAACATTTTTTTCCTGAAATCTATGGAATTACCTGAAGACAGAAATTATCTGAAAGAATGTAGGGATAAACTAACAACATGAGTTTGAGGCTGGATTAGTCTTGCCTTTCCAGTGTATCTTTAAGGGAGTGAGAGAGGAATAAAGGAGAGCTGGTAACTCTTGGAATACTTAGGACATTACTTTGAACTAAAAGTCATTGCTTGATACCTATTGATTACTAGAAAGGTGTTCCCTATCTTCTGAAGAAATTCTATTGAAGCGTTATTAAAGAATGGTGTCTTTTAAACCTGCAGAAATCTGAGAATGGAAATGTGTTTTACTCTATTAAAAGGCATGTTAAATCATGTTGGAGTTGAAAAGGGAGGTGTTGTTTGCACAGCTGAAAAAGGTTTTGCCTGAAGTTGGGTAATGTGTATTGCACAGCAGTCTGGATAATTACCAAGGTGGTGTTTCCCTCCAACTTATTACTAGCTGAAGGGAAGATGGAAAAACAGTTAGGATGGTAACATCAAGTTCCTTGAATAATAGTTTGGTTTAAGGCAAAGGCATTCTTGATGCAGTGCAGCTCTGATGAGTAGTGCTGCTAATATCTCTTTGCTGTTGGCAGCAAGATTATGTATAATATCTATCATTCGAATATCCCAATGCAGAAAGCTGCTTTTAATCAGCCCAACTGCACAAGTGTTTTAAGGGAAAGCAGATTCTGGGACTTGCGGCTTAAGTAAGACAGGCTCATCCCAAAACACTTCTAAAGTAAGTGGTGCCTCTCTGCAGATAGGATTGAGATGTGATCCCAGGCATAGCCTTATTTTTTGACAAAGCTATGACTCTTGTTTCTTGACATGATTTTTATCTACCACCCCTGCATACACGTTCTGTGTCCTTAATGGCATGAGACATCACTCTGTAGTTGTAATGATGGTAATAAAATAGTTTGTCAACCAGTCTTAGCTTAATACTTACATTTGTGTGAGTCTATTAAGCTGTTCTTTGAACTAGCCAGAAGTGATCATGCATTGGGCAGCTTATTCCCAGTCCTTGAGTAGGGATTTATCTGAATAGAAAGTACAAACCAAATCTGAAATGTAATGAACAATTTAAAATGAAGGGGAAAGGTGGCTTTAGCACAAATTGCTAGTATAGGGTGATGAAGTTATTCTAGGGGCTTCATGACAGGTATGCTGTTTACCCAGAATTACTTGCAGTGTGCCTGAGTTCAACTGTAAGTACCTGTAAGGTATGTAAGCAAGGTGGCAGATAGAAAATGATTTACCATTCTGTAAATGGTAAAGGCTGTGTACCTTCCTTTGATTGCCTTCCTGTTTGGCTTTTTTTCTTGATGTCTATGGGAGAAGTAAAAGTTTTAATGCCCTCAGATTCTCAAGAAAGTTACAGAATGTGTGTCAAATGTGCAGCTGCTTACACAGAAATGTGGTTTCAAACATGGCATGAATATAGACATAAAAAGGAGGGGCCAAAATTTTTATTTCTTGAGGTAAGCTTCTTATTCCTACATCTTTTTGTGCATTGCATATGTCATGGTTTAACCCCAGCCAGACAGCTTGTTCACCCACTACCCCCCTTATTCTTGCCCTGCCCCTAAAATTAAATCCCCTTGAGGTATACATCGGACTTCCCCATCTTCCCACATTACCCACCAAGTGTATCCAGGTCCCTGAGCAA